AATAATATTAACTCCGATTTTCTCCCAACAAAAAAGGAAAAAAAAAGAAAAGAGAAAGAGAAGAAAAAAGGAAACAAAATTTAAATAAAACTTAAACAACAAAAGAAAAAAAGAAATGAATGCAATATCTCTCACCTATCCCTTTCGCATTTCGTCATACATATGATTTTTTTCTTTATGAATGCATACGTACTTATAATATGCATTATATATTTCATAATAATAATATATATAATTATCTATATATATATACATATATATTTAATTATAATAATATTTTTTAAATTCAATTACACTTCACGCACACACTCAAATAAAAATTCTTAATTATTTATACTAATGTTATATTTACAGGACTACCCTATTGTGTGGTATTCTCTTTTTCTTTTTTTTCGTCATTATCATACACATACGAATCGATTACATTAATATATACATATACACACATACACATACATATATATATATATATATATATCTGCATGTATATATATGTATAAGTATACAGTTGACTTCGTTTGTACTTGGGGCCGGGGCTCGTAGGCCCTAACATGAAAATTTTACATATTTACAAAGCATTTTTATCTTTTTTTACTTCGTTTTTTTTTTATGCTTTATTTTTTTGCTCTTTCATGTTTCTGTGTATGTATGTGTGTATGTGTGTTTTATTTTATTTATTTATTTTTCTTATCATTACCATAGTGTTATTATTTTATTATAATTCTTTTTATTTTTATATATATATATATAACTCATTACTTTTATTTCCTTTCTCCCATTCTTTCTTCCCTTTTCCCTTACCGCAACACACCCTTAACCCTACCTCGAAGAAAAGATAAATCAAGAACAATTTTTTCTCGTCCCTTCTTTTCTTTTTTTTTCGTTTTTTTTTCTTTTTATCTCTTACCGTCCCCATTTACACTTTTCACGATCGGACGAAAGATTGAGAAACAATTTAATTAAAAAAAAAAGAAAATAATTTAAAAAAAAAAGAAAAGTGAAAATAAAAAACCAATAAAAAAAAAACAAAAAGAATTGAAAGGTCCGAGGTTAAAGAGGAAGATGCAGCAACGAAGTTGAGTTGCGTGTGTGTTGTTGTTGTTATGCCAAGGAATAGGAATAACAAAACGAATGATATTAGGAATTTGGAATTTAGAATTTGGAATTAGGATGAATTTGAAAGGGGAAGGAAGAAAGGAAGCAATTTTTATATTTCAACGAGTGTTGTGGGTTCCATTCTGAACTGCTAATCATCACTCGCGATTCATGTGTACTCCGATCGCCAGCCCGTCTGTGAACAAACGAATAAGAACAATTCTTTTTTTTTTTTCTTTATTTTCTTCCTTAAAAAGAAAAAAAAAAAGTGGAAAAATATGCACTGAGAGAGAAACAACAAGTAGAATTTCATTCCATGGTTTATTAAATTACAAATATAAAACTAGAAGGGATATTTATATTTGGGTGGAAATTCATGCAAGAGAAATGAAAGGAGACAAAATATTAATAATAATTATAATAATAATAATAATAAAAAAGAAAAAGAATGTGTAAGATATAATTGGAAAGATAAGGGATAGAACGAAATATTTATTATTGTATTTTTATTAAAATAGAAACAAATTAGGCCGAATGATCCTGCGAACAAAAAAAAAAAAGCAAAGAAGACAAAAACAAAAATCAGAGAATAATTCTTAAAATAAAAATTAAAAATAGTCAAAGGGATAGAAGGAACAAGCAATACGATTAGTATTTTTTGTTACAACGATAAATTAATTTGTTCTCACCATCGCGTTCGTCGTAGCTGCCAACTGAAGACCCTGAAGACTCGTCATGTGATGAGAATGGGAATGCGAATGCGAGTGGGGGTGTATGGGGGGCGGCGCCGGTGGTGCAAATCCTTGATGAAGACCTCCGGCCACGCCGACGCCCGTGTGATACATGTAATGTTGCATTGCAGGATGCATCGTATGGTGATGCTGCGACGTACCTGCAACATCCAACCATCGTCCATCTTCAAAAATAAATTCATCGTTATTATTATTTTTCTCATTTTCCTTAATCTATATAATTTAATCATATTATATTTTCTTCTCTTATTCCAATCAAATTCGTCAATCCGTTCAAATTTCAATCTCATCAAGTTTTTATCAAAATAAAAAAAATAAAATAAAGAGTATTTATTATATAATTAAATATAATAATAAATTAAAGAGATAACAATTGATGTCGAATTTTTTTACAAATTAAGAAAAAAAAATTTCGATTGGAATAAGAAAATAAAATAATAATTGTTAATAGTGAAAAGATTTGTTTGTAATGCTTACCCATAGGTGATCCAAATCCTGAATGGAAAGGTTTGTTGTCGAGATCAAGGTGTCCACTAGCTTTAATCATGTCACCCATGACACCACCCAAACCTAGACAACCACCTGCCTTCTTCTTCTTACTCTTTGACGAAAGTTTTCGATTCCTCGTTTGGATTCCTTCCTTCTTCATCGTCAATGGCCGATTAACCTGCAACAGTCATAGCCAACAATTCGTTAGGTCGACTCGGTCGATAAAACTAAACGCGAAACGACAAATTATTTCTTTTTTTTTTTATGTAGATGATTTTATATGTGATTTTGAAAATAATAACAAATTTATCATGCAACGATGGGAGGGGGGTAGTTTTTTTTTTTTTAATGCAAATGTACACATAACAACAATAAAAACAACAACACATGCTACGTGTCTCGGGTTGCATATTAATGAACTTTCGCATAAAAATCGGTTAGAACTTTTCGGTTAAGATGAATTTTATGTTTGTTTGTTTTCTTCGTCGGCTTATGGTCGGTCGTTTTACTCCAGACACAACGTAATTAAGAAATCCCTCAGATTCTCGGTAGTCTGTGCACTTTAACGAATCGACGAGGAGTTCTTTTCTTTCGAGATAAAACGAAAGAGAAAGAAAGAAAGAGAAGGGAAGAAGGGTGATAGGTGGGGGTATAATTGAAGATCCTACGTCACCGCATTGCCACTTTTAAACCGAGTAAATTTAAAAGAAAATAACGAACGAGAGATCCCGAGTAATAATATATAATATAGAATAAAAAGAGATAACAAACATCTTAATCCGAGATCATCATCATCATCATCATCATCATCTCGCGTTAGATGACAATTTGAAAAAATCTTTAAAATAATATTTCTTAAAAATCTTATGAAAACTTTTCAGGAACGTAATTAATAACACATCATCATCGTCATCGTCATCATCTGTCTGTCTGTGTGTATGTTTGTTTGTGTGTGACCTGATTTAGCAAAAATACGAAATAATTATTGCGTTTCGATGCTAGTTTAATTGTAAACAAAAAAATCTTTGGATGGGTAGAGGGGATTAAGGAAAGAAAAATCGATATGCTATCGAACGATGCACATATCGGAAATATTATTCAAGAGAAGAATCGTGAGAGAAAGAAAGAGAGAGAGAGAGAGAGAAAGAAAAGCGTGCGTGAAAGGCCGGACGATCGTGCATGGCCTAACGTTCCTTTATTAATCCTTTGTCTATAATGCCGACACACAAGTTCGCGACTCGAATTTGTAGACGATGACCAGGAGAAATAAAAAGAGAGAGAGAGAGAGAGAAATAAGCACGTGCTTAAAACATCTATAAGGGATAGAATAAAGTGCAATTCACAATCCCTTTAATTTTGCAATAAAACAATTAGATTAATTCAAATCAAACGATATTATTTCATTTGTATTATAACAAATGTCTCTTTCTAATTTTCTTAACGTAAAAAGATGATAGACAATGTGTTTTTGATAGTAAAAATAATTTAATCGAACAAATATCAAGAGATCAACAAAAGATAACGAAGTTTAGATGTGTAGTTTTTTTTGAATATTACATGAATGTATGTCTGCTTAAATAAATAAAAAAAGATGCTGAACTTTAGAGATTAAGAAGTTGCTGAAGTAGTCCCAATAAAGGGACGAAACGTCCAAATAATCAAAACTAAGTTCTAGTTATTTTCAAAATTATTTCATACAATTATTCTTATCGTAGGAAAAATAGAAAGAGGTATTAAGAACAAAAATTTAATCAAACCAAAAATACGAAACAACGTTTATCCGTAAAAACCGTCGCAAAAAAAGGAAAAAGGATATTTTAGATTCTGTTAATAACCCCAAAATAAAATTATCGACCGAATGAACAAAGCTTTAAACGTCTTGAAAATCGCATCAAGTAGTCTCTTGTGGTAGGATGCGCGTGTGCGGTCCGTGCATAGTAGAAGTCCAAGTGCCGCAAGTACGAAATAAGTAGGTATGCAAGTATTGCTCGGTTGCATCGGGGAGGTTAGAGGAGGGGACAAGGGGGAAGAGAAGGAGGATGACAAAGAGAAGGAAGGGTACGGGGTAAGGTGGAGAGGAGCAACGCAATGCTTTGTAGTTTGCCGCGACGTGACGCAACTGCCAACACGCGGGGGATAGATTCTGTTTAATGAGAAAAATGGGAAAGAAAGAATGAAAGAATGAAATAAATAAATAAATAAAGACAAAACCCTATAAACACGAAAGAGTATAATAAAATATAACAGTGATAGAAAATTTAGTTTATAAGGAGAAAGAAAGAAAACAAAGTGTAAGTGCAATGGTAATGCAGTGCAGTGCAGTGCAATTATTCGATGTTTTTTCGTGGTTCCCCTCCGGATTAACAACAGACCTCTTAACCCCCTTCCCCCAACCCTCCGCCTTCGACCCCACCCCCCTAACAAGCAAACTCCAGACGGTCAACGTACTCTTTTTCGTTGGAATTACGCAATTGTCCGAATTTGCCGAATTAGTTGCAGGCGTTTTTTTCTTCGAAATAATTCGCGAGGACCGGAATCTCGAAGCGGATGCTGAATTTACCAACCGGGGTGGTAGTGATGGTGGTGGTAGTGGTAATGTATAAAGGATCCTCTTCCAAATGAATTCTTTTAGATAAGAAGGAATGAAACGGGGAATCTAGTTTCATTGAAATTAAAGATAAAACACCATTGATTTGGGATTTATAAATCGTTTCTCATTTACTTGAAAAAGTAATCGTGGATGGGGGGGGGGATAAGGTAGGTGGGTTCGTTCAATGTTAAATATTTACAATTAAGAGTGATACGTTGTTTTTTTTGTTTTTTTATTTTTTGAGGGAGTCTTAACGAGCGAAGAACAGAAATAAGAATAAGAAGAAGAGGTGGATGTGAGGGGGTGGTGCAGGGGTGGAGAGGTGGTGAGACACAAAAGCTCGAACCAATTTGAATACAATACTGGCGGCTTTAATAGGAACCACCATCCGCTTAAGTCTGCGGGTGTCCGAAAGTGCGAGAGGTGCAAACAAAAGAGGAAATGAGAAACCGAATAAAATACTTCGGACAGAAAGAGAAAGAAAATCTCTTGGAGATTTGAATGCAGATTGATGTGGTCGCACACGATGCAACCGTACGTTTCTTGCATACGTGATAAACTCTGTGCGAACGCATCTCTCACAAAGGGTCAATGAATGAATGAATGAATGATCCCGTGTGTTTATCGCGGAAAAGCGACCGAAATAATATACGTTTTAATCAAATCATATGTACTATTTATTTTCATTGCAATTCATTTATCCAAAATACGGATCAAGCCCATCCCCTCCCCCCAGCTATCATTAATTAATTATTGCAATTTATATGATAATAATTTAGATTTTATTCTATTGGCAAAATAAAAATGTTTATTATATTATATGTATCTATAAGTATACACCCTTAATTCTGTTTTTATACGATTGATAATAGAAATTCCCGAAGATATACACGTGTAAAAATAAATAAAATATATTAGATATATTGAAAAAAAATAATTTTTCATTTAACCCATAGATATAAAGTGCATGAATAAAGGAAAATATTTAATTAATATTAATCGTAATTTCATAAAAATCAATGAATCACACATTATGCAAACCCTACGAAACTTTCTTATGTGGTTTTATCAATAATTGATTCTATTACTGGTATATTATAAAAATAAAAAAACATAAGGAAGTGATCAACGGTGATTGTGAAAAAATTAACGATAAAATATTATCAGACAATTCGACTTTATGTTTAATACGTGACCTTCGATGATTTCTCACGACTTCGGGATTCTTCTTCTTCTTCTTCTTCTTTTTCGAGGAATGCAAATTCAAGGAAGAAGAAAAAAGTGATGGGGTGGGGAAGGAAGAATTGATATTACAACGAGAAAAATCGAACTAAAGTTCTTTCGGAAGTGTTTCTAAGGATCGCGTGTATGGAATGTCTCGCGTGTTGTGTCGTTCTATGGTATACGATAGTTCGTTTTGAGCATATCAATGGGATGGGGGAGGGCACCCTACGAAAGGTTGCATTCTCATTCTTTCTCTCTCTCTCTCTCTCTTTCACTTCTTCGTAAAACTGATGTTTTAAGTTTTACAACTTCCTCGTAGTTTAAAATGAAGAATTATTTTTCCAGGAAAAACATTTCGGCACTAACTAAGTACGCGTGTATACGTGTGCGTGTGTGGATGTTCGTTTAATGGAATAAAAAAAGAATCCTTTAAAAAGTACACCGAAATTTGAACTCTGATTTTAACGACTAGATCGTGCAACGTTTTCTTGATTAATTCCTGAGTAATGTATGAAACAGGAGTGGTGGTGGTGAATAAAGTTGGTATCTTCAAAGGGCACAACACACACACACAGAGAGAAAAAGAGAGAGAATTTCTAAAATTAGTCTTATCGTTCGATCGACGCGACGACGATTATATTTATCCGAAAATTGTCGCGTTGCGTGCACCGAAGAGGATTTCAACCTCGTCAAAACTATATCTGTCTCACTCTCTCTCTCTCTCTCTCTTATCTATCTATCTGTTATTCTAACAAAAGTACAATATTGAAAGAGCAACTAGCCAACCGTATAAACAAAAATTAGTGGGAGGGGGGTGTAGAAAAACGTAAGGACGAATCGAAAAGGATTTTTTTACGTACACACAGCACCCACAACTAAAATGAAACGAAAAAAAAAAATAGAAAAAGAGAGAGAGAAAGAAATCAAAGAGGAGTCTGGATTTCGGGTGGCGATTAGCATATTTCGAACACCCGGTAGCGTGCTGTTCGGCCACGAATAATCCGTGTATTTTCGACACGCGTTGTACGCGCGAGTGTGAGTGTTTAGCCACGGACTTTATCAGGATGCTCTATCTTAACGACGCCAGATCTGTCCTTCTTACTCTCCTTCTCTCTCTCTCTCTTTATCTTTCTCTTCCTTCACCTACTCTCTCTACGAGTATTGGTTATCTAAGATCTCGCGAGAGAGACAAGCGCACGAGGATACACATTCTATCTATCTATCTTTCTTTATTTATTTCTTTTCTTTTCTTTATCTTTCTTTTCTCTTTTAGTTTGATGTGTACTCTCTCTGTCTCTCTCTCTCTTTTCTGCCAGGTCTGGAAAGAAAAAGGGCAACAGCAGCAGCAGCAGCAACTCAGAGAT